TGTGAATTTATATTTCTGTTACCCGTACTTCTATTCATATATAAAAGGATCTTTGAAATTATTATGCAAAGTGAAGAATTTAAAGTTATCTTTTAACATGGTGATAATCCAAAAACTAATTGTACAAATTTGATACAGAAATTGAGAAACAACGACCTGATAACCAGGTAAATGTGCTTGCCACCAAGCCTGATAACATGAGTCTAATCCCCAGGAGTCACATGATAGAATGAGAAAACCAAATCCCACAAGTTGTCTTCTGATCTCTACAAACACCGCACCCATACCAATATCCACGCACAGATAGATACATTAAAATATAGTAAAATTTTAATGATGACCACATAGCAATTTTGCCTAAAAAATCACAAATCTTAATAACAGTTTTACCTGACCATGTCAGTATCACATCATACCACTTTTATGTAACCAAAGCAAGGAGTCAACCTATGTCTGTAAGTTTCCTTGTACATGTGGAGGAGGTCTTGGCAAAAGCGATTCCATCTCTGGAATTTGTTTTGCAATTTAGGTTTTACAGGGTGACTCCTGAAGGAAAATAAGGAGATGATACAGGAAAAGGGGACAGTTCTAAATGCTGCAGTCTCTTTCCCCAAATTCTTGATTTATCCTTCTTCTCACTCATTTCATGTTAGCTTGGTTTTCCTTTACCCCGTTCCCCTTAGAACATGAGCCTTCAGTATTATGAAACACATCTCCTGTGTAGCAGCCAGCAGTGCCAGACTGTAGCATATAGATCTCTGACTTTACAGAACGCCTGAAATTAGAAAGCTATGGCTTTGGATAGAGTAATGAGACTTGGAAAATTGGACAAAAACAGTTTTTCTCACAATTGAACAATATTTTAAATTTGCTCTAAGGCATTTTGTAATTGAGATATTCGAAGACTTCAATTACCATTATTGTCACATCCTTTTCTTAGCATCACTTGGAGCAACTGACTCTCTAGGCTGTACATTTATAGAGCAAAGAGCAGTGCTGGATACATTATTGGGTCTACTGATTTTTGAGATGATACTTTGAGGAACCAGTGTTCTGAAAAACACCACTGTCTGTCATTGTAATCTACCAAATATTCTTAAATGTTATTAATGAATAACTAAAAGGGTGAATGACCAGAAAATGTGGGGCTAGCCTCCCAGATGTTGCCAAGAAAAGCAGCATCTTTGTCTCACATTTTAATATTTTAATTTTCAGACTAAATATCAAAACATTTTTATTGATTAATTCAATTTCATTTAGTTTAAATGACTTAAGACTTATCTGAAGTGGTGACATTGGAATGAGAATATTGCAAGAATTTTCCCATGTTCTGAGCCAGTGAAGATGGACTAAATGTACTGAAAATGACATCTATACTGGACACAGTAATAGCTGTTTCATGCCTTAAAGTCAGTAGGAGATTAAGGACTAAAGTTGCATTAAGAATTATTTAAAATCAAGAGGCTGGTGAGATGACTCAGTGGTTAAGAGCACTGGCTGTTCTTGCAGAGGATCCGGGTTCAGTTCCCAGCATCCACATGGTGGCTAACAACTGTCCTGAACTCCAGTTCCAGGGGATCTGATGCCCCTTTTGGTCTATATGAGCATTGCATGATATAGGTGCACTTACATACTTGCAGGCCAAACATTTATAAACATAAATAAAAATAATTTTTTAATCAAGTAGGAAATCAAAAGCCTGGGGGCCTAATTTGATTTTATAACTTACAAACTGTGTTAACTACCATAACTGTGACTGTCTATAGGCCAGTTTTGAGCCTATGAGATGGATATAATCAACAATCTCCTTCAGGTCAATGCCCTCTCATCCTGCCACATGAACTACGGGACCAGTGTGGTGGTTGGTGCTCCTCCATCAGCTAAGGTGCTCAGCTATGACCCGATACTGCTCTTCACTGGGCACACATGAAGAGCTGCGGCAGCTAGGCCTCTAGACAGGCTGTGATGGCTTTACCTCCCCTGCCTGCTAAGTGAGAGAAGTTGGTGCTCTCATCTCCTCACTCTCCCAACAACTCTCTTCCAACAATGAGTATGAAATGACCCAAAACGGAGTTGTAGTAAGAATCTCACAAAAGATAGTGTCCATTCTTCACTTGACTTAGGGCTAACATCAGTAGGCATATTTTACATCAGTGTCTGGAACTCACATGACCCAAAGGCCTGAATAAAAGGTACCAACAGTGTCTCTGCTTGGCATGACTTACATGGCAGAAAGTTCTGATGGCATCCATCGTTCTCCTCATATTCAAGAATGCTCGTGAAAAATATGTTATTAATTAATGAAAGCATTGCCAAACATTCTGTACCCAAAGCCAAAACAAATGGACAGAAGGGATTGCCACATTTTACAGGGACAGTTCAGATTCCCACCAGAATCTCTCTTGCAGGGGATGGCAAGTAAATCTTTTGTTCCTCTCCTCTTCGGGGTCTTGTGTTCTGGTACCTTTGTACAGAACCCCACTAGGCACTTTGGAAGCATTTTCAGTATCAGACTTGATCTTACATAGTGTGAAATAATAACCATTCGGGTACCTTGTTCTGAGTCTGTAGCTCAGGTAGAGGTCTCACTGGAGACAGAAGATAAAATGTTGTAAATACAGTTTATTTAAAGTTATTAGCCTGGGTTGGAGAGATGGCTCAGTGGTTAAGAGCACTGGTTGTTCCTGCAGAGGTCCCAGGTTTAGATCCTAGCACCCACATGATGGCTAACAACCATCTCTTAACTCCAGTTCCAAGGGATTTGATGCCCGCTCCTGGTCCCTGCAGGCATTGTACATATGTGGTGCACTTACATACAGGCAGGTCAAACACTCATTCACATAAAATGAAAATAAATAACAAAGTAATGATTATTCATAAATTAGAGAAGTATATAATTTGGTAGAAAATACAAACACAAATGTTAATGAAATAGCCGGGCACGGTGGCACATGCCTTTAGTCCCAGCACTTAGGAGGCAGAGGCAGGCAGATCTCTGTGAATTCAAGCCTGGTCTGGTCTACAGAGTGAGTTCCAGGGAAGCTGGGGCTACAGGGAGACCCTGTCTCGAAAAGATTGAAAAATATTAATGAAATTATAAAATTTAATGTAGCTATTTATAGAAGACAAATTATAAAGCCAGGTGTGGTGGCACACACCTTTAATCCCAGCACTTGGGAGGCAGAGGCAGGTGGATCCCTGTGAGTTCAAGGCCAGCCTGGTCTACATAGTGAGTTCCAGGACAGCTGGGGCTACAGGGAGCCCCTGTCTCAAAAAAACCAAAAAAAAGAAGACAAATTATAATAGGAGTGTTTCAACATTTATTGTACGTTAAAAGTTTCATGTAGGACTGGGAGATGGCTCAGTGGGTAAAGTACTTGCTGCACAAGCATGAAGACCAGAGTTCACATCTCCAGAACCACGTAAAACCAGATACAGTAGTGTGCATCTGTAATCCCAGCACTCTTGAGATGTGGTAGGAGGCAGAGGCAGGAGAATCTGGAAGTTTGTGGGCTAGCTAGGCAGCAGGGAACAGCAAGGGACCCTGTCTCAAACAAGGTAGAAGACAAGGACTAACAGGGGATGGTTCTGTGACCTCCTATGTGACATGGGTATACCTGCACTCACACATAGGAACATACTTCTCTCTCTCACACACAGACTCCCCCACAGTTCACATCAGTGCTTCCTTTCCCCACTGATTGTTGACCATTGTTTAGTATGAAGGTCAGGGTGACCTGGACTAGAGCTGCACATGGATGTGCTGGGCTAGAACCTGTGTAGAATGAGCCCACAAAGGAATCAAAGGGAGTGGAACAGAAATCATGCATGTGAGACAATTCCCTCTAGTTCTCTGCAACAGGAGCAGAGATGTGGAGTGACTGGAAGGAGAGACAGGAAACAAGGACGGCTTTGTTAGGCTTTTTTTCTTAAGATGGGAGAGATGGGCTGGAGAGATGGCTCAGCGGTTAAGAGCACTGACTGCTCTTGCAGAGGACCCAGGTTGGAGTCCCAGCACCCACGTAGCGGCTACGAACCGTCCTTAACTCCAGTTCCAGGAGAATCGAAACCCTTTTCTGATCTCCGCAGCATTGCACAACACTGGTGTACTCACATGCATGCAGTCAATACACTCATACACATAAAAAAAATTTTTAAAAAGATGTGACAGATGCAGCTTATTTGTACGTGGTTGGGAGTGATCCAACTGGAGGGAAAGGCAACAAGATAGGAAAGAAAAGACAAACACGAAATCATAAAACGTAAGGGATTTACATTTTACTTTTTCATACTCTTTTTTCATACTTTGTTTACCAAGTACAAAGAGTAAATCTGTGCTTACTTACAGGTTGGTAACGTAGAGATGATGGACCTAAACTAGTGACTGATTTCCTGGCAAAGAAATTTGACCTGGACCAGTTGATAACCCATGTCCTACCTTTTAAAAACATCAGTGAAGGATTTGAGTTGCTATATTCAGGGTAAAGGTAAGTTTTTTATTGTGATTTTTTACTCTTCCTCACAGGCTACTTTTAAATTTTAGTGTTTACAAATATACATGTTTCCCTCCTGTTTTACTTTGGAGTGTTTAAGTTAGATGGACATAGTGACTTACTTCTTTCTTCTCTTAGAATGTCAGTAACCTATATTAATTCTTTGAAATCCTCTGGATTATATGTTTTCACACTAGATGGGGCAGTTTTTGGAATCATAAAGCTGGTAGTTTCTTCAAGTAATGCCACAAAATTCCCTCTATAGTTTTGCAGATCGTTTCCAACTGCGCTTTCTCTCATTCGTGTATATCAGAAATTATTCTTGCCATTTTCAGCTGATGAAATGAAGTTTACAAAAGCAAATAAATAATATGTCCAGGCTCATAGGAGCAGCATCAGGGTGTGCTTTCCTGCACATAGGCCAGATACCTCAAACGGAGCTTTGTTCACGCCAGGTAAAGAATGGTGTCTTACCCATCTCGTGTCCCTCATAATTACTGGGCAAGAAGCAGAGTATGAAAAAGTCAAATTTCAGCTACACCTTTTTATGGATGCCTGGAGCCTGTGTATAGGGTGAGAACAGATTTCATTCATTGGGTCTGTAATTGTTCATAGAGCGTCTACAATGTGCAACGGATTTGGATTCCCTTAGCAAGAGGGACTATACTTTTCAATGTTGTATCTTATCCTTATGCCTGGTGCAGACTTATGGTACATGTACACATGTTTAAATTATTTTTAAGCAAGTAAACAGTGAATGGATAACTGTCAGAAAAAAGTTAAGCTCAAGCCTGGTGGGATGGCATGTACCTTTAATACTAGCACTTGGAAGGCAGAGGCAGGAGGATCTCTATGAAATCAAGGCCTGCCTGGACTACATAGGGAATTCCAGATTAGCTGGGACAATAGGGAGACCCTATATCAACAGTCATTTATTTACATAAACAAAACATATTTTAATATAGTGAGTTTGAAAAATAATTACTAATTCCAAATAAATTCTACTTCTAGACATTTTACTTCTGTCATCTTAATGCAGTCATTTCCCAAATGACATTTGTAAACCCCAGCCCTTCAATTCCCATCATTTTCCTACATAAAACCCCTGAATGCTCCGTTTGCATCAACTTCAAAGCAATTCATTCTCTATCACACCTCATCTAAGCAAATAATGTCACTTATTCTGCTTTGACAGAGTAGAAGACATAGGGTTGCATCTAATTTCTTTTACTGTTTCCTACTGCATGCAAAGGGATGTTGAGCCCTGCAGGTGGAATCCTTGTCTCTCTTTCAGAATTTCTCCTCTACCCTGCTCAAGATCGTTGTCTTGTCTCCGTCTGGTCATGGCTCATCTGGACATGCTGACATAGTTACTTGATAATGGGTCTCCTACCTTCTGTTTTCACTAATCTGATCAATTCAGATTGTCCCCCAAAACATCAGTGTCCTAGAGTGGTTTTAATGGCCTTCATTACTGAACAAAAATATTTTTATTTATTAATTATCTACTTATTCGATAACTAAGAAATAGCATCTAGCATCCAGTCTCTGCACTAAACTTTGGGAATGAAGGGAACATAAGCCTTATCTGCTTTTACAATCCCTTGGGCATCAAACAGTCTAAACTCTCTGGATTATCCTTCCTGTTCCTCCTTGTTGCTGCCAGGCAAGCTCTTTCTTCTGATTAGCCCATTGAATTAAGTGAATGCTCTCAGAGCCAGCTTCAGTTCCCTTACCAGAGATGCACAGAAGAAAAGCTAACAGGTGGAGACCTCAGGCCCAGACCACTTCCCATAACAGAGTTGACCTGAAGGAAGTATGGCTTTTCTTGCTTGAAAAAAAAAATTACTCAAAGCTGCCATTTTCCATTTCAGCATCCGAACTGTTCTGACATTTTGAGATCCTGTGGGTGGATGCTCTGTGCTGGGTGGTGACCTGGAGCCTTTCTTCTTCCGGTGCCCTCTGAGATCATGGAGCTGTCTGAGAAATAGCTGCAGAAGAAGTAGATGTTCCGGTGAAGATACAGAAGCTTTACAAAGTTTAATGAACCTTTATGAAAATTGCTTTAATGAGTACCTAGAGATTAGCATGGAACTTAATGATAACATTAAAATTCTAAAATTTGCTTTTTCTAAGGCTGTAATTATATTTAAAAAAACATTTTTCTGTTAGGATAAAGTTTTTTTCAGAGTTTTAAACAGTCACTGTGCCTTACATAGATGTATAATGTAAAGATATGGTGAGTGTATTTACTGGAGAAATATTCATTGAGCACATTGCAACTATTCTGTTTTTAAGCAGAAATACTCTTAAAACATGCTGTAAATTAACTTGAATTAGATTGTGAAATCATCCCATTGTATCACACATTATTTGATTAGATTAAGAAAAATAATTGGGAAATTTGAGGAAAGGGCACATTTTTCATTGATTAACTTTTAGAATTGTCATTACATAATGGTGAAACTCAAGATTCATAAGAGTACCTAGGGTTATTTACCAGCATATATCAATTTTTTACAAGCTAGAACTTTTATGATACTATTTAAATATAAAACTATAGCTATAAGCACACTGATATTTATCATAATGTTCAGTTTAACAAGTCCTAAATCCCTTTTTACATAGTAATAATTCTATTTAACAATAAAATAATTTCAGTTTGTTATATCTATATTGGCATATATTTATGCATATCTATCTGCAGACATGTACATATTGATAATATGTGCTAAAATTCTTCCATTTTTCTTTTGGGACAGGGTTTTGCAATGTATCAGACTGTCCTGGAACTTTCTATCTAGTCCAGGATAACCTTAAACTCAAAATCACCCTGCTTCAGCTCTCCCGCCCCAAGTCTACCCAGGGCTGGGATTACAGGCATGCACCATTATGCATGGCTGAAAGTTCTTAATAAAGTTAAAAGTCATACAAAATTATTTGTAGTGTCATAGTTTGTTTGAAAAAGACACATTTCATTATTGGAATTTTAATGGTCATAGAATATTGAAGTTCCTGAAAATATTTAATAATGTATAAGAAAAGTAAGTTGAGTAGGACTAGCAGAAATTTTGGATTTCCATTTGAGGATGCAGTATAGGTTGAAAAGTCCAGGTAACTCTGAGCCACTGTTACATAATAAACATTTCCCAATAAAAATCGATTTGAACCCAAGGGGGTAAAAGTGCTCCTTTCTGGGAGGGAATTCTTCCAAACACATTTTAGAAGCCAAGTGTTACCCTGATAGCAAAACCAAAGGACACTTACAAAAAGAAAACTGTGCACCAATGTTCCTGATAAACATAGAAGCAGAAATTCTCAATAAAGGACTAGCAAACTGAGCCCTAAAAAATAAAAATAGAAAGTGGGATTTATCCCAGGTTTACATGGATAGTTCAACATATGCAAATCAATAAACTTAATGCATCATAACAACAGATTGAAGGACAAAAAAAAAACCCCATCATCTCAACATAGATAAAGCACTTGAAAAAAATTCAACATTTTTCAAAATCCCAAGAAATTGGATACAGAAGAAATGTATTCATCATAACAAAAGCTATATATAACATCCGCAGAAAACATCATACTAAATGGGAGAAAGTTGAAAACATTTTTCTCTAGGATTTGGATCAAGACAATTATGTCTTCTTCTAGTACTAATACTGAAACAGGACTCTAAGCCTTAGCCAGGAAAATAAAGCTAAAACAGAAGTAAAGGACATCAGGCTAGAGAGAAGATCATCCCTATGTACAAGCAATGTACATCCCTATGTACACACAATTACCACCAGTAGCTGTTAGAACTGAAAAACAAATGTAGTAAAGTTTCATGATTCAAAATCAGCATATAAAATTAGTATTTCTATTTACCAATAGTGAACTTGATGGGAAAGAAACAAAAAAAGAATCCCATTTACAAAATCTACAGAAATATATAAAAAGCCCTAGAGGAAGTTTAAACAAGGACGTTAAAGGTCTCTATAATTAAAACACCATTAAAAGAAATTAGGAAGAACATATAAAAAGATGAAAATGTATCCTATGTTCATGAACTTTAAATATTAATATTGTTAAAATGCCCATGCTACCCAAAGGAAAATACAGATTCTATACAATTCATCAAAATATGAATGGCATTCTTCACAGAAGCTGGAACAAAACAAAACAACACTTAAAAAAAAAACCTCCAAATAGTCAAATTAATTATGAGTGAAAAGACAAAAGCTATAGGTATCACAGAATTGACTTAAAACCACACTGCAAAGCCATCGTGCCCAGAAGAGAATTTATCATCAAAGATAGAGTAATCTATCATCAAAATCAATGCAGACCAGTGACACAACTGAGAACCCAGAAACGGATCCCTGCTTACTGTAACTGATTTTCAACCAACATGTCAAGAGCATATGGTGGAGAAAGGACACCCCCCTTCAAAAATGCTATGAGAGGCTGGAGAGATGGTGCAGCAGGTAAGAGAACTGAATGCTCTTGCAGAGGACCAGGACCCAGGTTCAAGTCTCAGCATCCACCTGGCAGCTAGCACCCATTTCCAACTCCAGTTCCAGGGGATCCTATGCCCTCTTCTGGCTTCTGCAGGTTTTGCACACAGATGGTGCACTTATATAGATACAAACAATACAATCAAATATATAAAATAAAAATGAATAAATAAAGAATATTTTAAATGGTTTGAAAATGGATAGGGGAATAATGGGGGTGTTAAGTATCAAGAGGGATGGGATGGTAAAGAAAATGGGGTAGAGGAAGGGATATCAACACTAAGAATGTTTGAAAAAGTCATATGGAAGACTGTTGTTTTATAAACTTCATGTAAGTTTAAATGAAATTACCCTACATGGGGGACAATGCTTCTCCCAGAAGCCACAGATTGCCAAATATAAAGCCCACTGCCAGGTGTGGGATACCTCCCTTTGAGCAGTTGGTCAGAGGTGTCCCAGAGACCCCCAAAACAATACAGGCTACTGCCATTGCTCTTGGTCCCCCACCAGAACTTGATGGTAAGATACCATTGCTGAAGATGTCACACATGCACACACTAGTCACAAGGCTTGGAGAAATCAAGCTTGTACTGACCTAGAAATTCCCTCCCTAGTGGATAACTTTCATGGTACTAGAAGATACCTATGCAGGCTGCTAGAAGGAAAAAGTCCTCATAAGTCTTACCCAGTTGTGAACCCTGTGAACTACAACAATGATCTGTTTGGCAAAATATATCTGTGCTAGATAGCTTTGGTGTCAACTTGACACACTGGGGTTAAGGGAGCCTCAATTGGGGAATTGCCTTCATTGGACTGGCCTGTGGCCATGTCCATGGGCCATCTTCTTTATTGTTGAGTGATGTGGGAGGGCCCAGCCCACTGTGGGTGGTGCCACCCCTGGGCAGGTGGCCCTGCATTGCATAAGAAAGGCTGAGCAGGGACCAGGAGAGCAAGTCAGTAAGCAGAGTTCCTCCATAGCCTATGCTCCAACTTCTGCCTCCAGGTTCCTCCTCTGAGCTCCTACCTTGGGCTCCCTGTTGAACTGTGACCTGGGAGATGTAAGACAAATAAATCCTTTCCTCCTCAAGTTGGTAGTGGTCAGAGTGATTTGTCACAGCAATGGAGAGACAAACTAGGACAGAAATTGGTACCAGAGAGTGGGATATTGCTCTGACAGACCTGACCTTAGCATTTTGGGGAGGATTGTGGAAGCGTTCAGAACTTTGGGCTAGAAAAGCCATTGAGTGCTTAGAGTTTGTGGCTGTGAAGCTTGGAAAAATTATGTTGAAAGAGTTGTGGGCAATGGAGGCCTGGCTTGTGAAGTTTCAAAAGGAAGCAGAGATTATCAGGGTTGTTTGTGTGATATCTTGAATTGAGAATCTGTGTGTTCTGGTCGGCTGGGGCTGAAGAATCAGCTGTAAGTAACAAGAGACCAGCATCACCATGAAATCTTCTGGGAGGTATTTCCTCAGGGTCAGGACACAGAGAGCCTCCATCTCAAGCTGGAAGCAGGACTTGGTAATGTGTAAAAGTCTCCTGCATGGTTCTGGTGTTGAAAGCGTGAAGAGGTCACAGAGAGCATCTGAGGCTTGACACTCTGAGAGACCAGGAAAGACCATAGGTGAAAGTGCAGCTTCAGTTGCAGTGAAGACCCCAAGACTAAGGGGTCATGGAAAGAATCTGAGGCTTTGCACCCCAAGAGGCAAGAAGAGGCCATTGGTGAAGGTGTAGCTTCAATTTCAGTGGCAACCCCAGCTTTTTGGAGATGCCGGGGCCATGGGATGACCACCAAGGGCAGCAGCAGGTGTGGAATGGAGCTGGCCTGGGTCTGCAAGACGAGCTGTGTGTGCTGTGGACTGCAGAGTCAGAGAAGTGGAGCTGCCAGTACCCTTTGGAGCCCAGAAGATTGTGAGTGAATCCCAGATATGTCCAGCCTTGAGCTACTTTGCTGGACTTTGGTTTTGCTTAGGTGTGCCCGATTCTTCCCTTTGAAATAAGACAGAACTTGTTTTGGATTTTACAGAAGCCCACCCACAGTTAAGAAACTATTAAGAGACTATGGACTTTTAAGTGTTTGGACTTTTTTAAGGACTGTGAGGTTTTTAAGGCTGTACTGACTTATGTTGTGATATTAATGTTAACATCATATCTTGGGGACAAGAATTGGAAAGGTTATGGTTTAATAGTGATGTGTTTGTATGTCAAGTTGACAAGGGGTCAATTGTGTTGGATAGCTTTGGTGTCAACTTGACACACCTGGGTTGAGGGAGTCTCAATTGGGGAACTGCCTTCATCGGACTGGCCCATGTACATGGGCCACCTTCTTGATTGTTGAGTGATGTGGGATGGCCCAGCCCACTGTGGATGATGCCATCCCTGGGCAGGTACACCTGTGTTTCATAAGAAAGCAGGCTGAACAGGGGCCAAGGGAGCAAGCCAGTAAGCAGCATTCCTCCATGGCCTGTGCTCCAGCTCTTGCCTCTGGGTTCCTGCCCTGAGTTCCTACCTTGGGCTCCCTGATGAACTGTGACCTGGGAGATGTAAGACAAATAAATCCTTTCCTCCCTGAGTTGGTAATGGTCAGAGTGGTTTGTCACAGCAAAGGAGAGACAAACTAGGACAATATCCGTGGATGGCATAGTGGCACATATGTCATGGTGGCAACCAACCATTTTCTGGTTGGGTTTAAGGCCCATACCACAGGAGAAAACACATGCCTGCTGCTCTAAATCAGGTCAAGAAACTGTGGCTGGGTGGGTCATAGGTCTCCAGGGGCACCTACTACTATTGTTTTGCTTAATGAACATAGTATCAAACTGCTTTCTAAATACTTATCTAAAGGTTAGTGCAGTTCTCAGACCTCATTAGAGAATTATCTTTGTGCAGTATTGACAGCTAATAGCTGCTAGTGAAGGAAGAGTTTTCTCTAGGGGTGTGGTTCATGATAGGTTGAACATGCTCAAGTGGATGGCCCCACACTATGCATGTATGTGCAGCACTAATGGGACTCAGTGGGTTATGTTTTTTTAAGGACATGAAGTTGGGCACCTGGGGAGGAGTAATCTTGGAGGAGTTGGAGGTGGAGAATGAATGTAATCAAAATGCAGTATTATATGCATGTAGGAAATTCTCAAAGAATAAATAAGAATACTATATTTTTAAATGGTGCTGAGGAAAATGTCTTGGGAAAAGCTTACCATCTACTATTGTGAACTATTTAAAAAGTCAATGTGATTGGAATTTGCCTGCATCAAAAGGTTACTAATAGTTTTTAGGTCCATGAAGCTTAAAAAATGCCAATTCCTGACAGGCATTTAAATAATTCATTTCTCTCAATGATCAGTTTCTTTGTGTGTTCTGATTAATATAAATGTTTCCATGAAATTATTTTAACATTTCTGTAGATTTCTTTCCCTGGAGCCCTTTCTGGCCCATCACCTCAACTCCATTCCACATAAAGTACCTCCCATCAACTTTTCCTTTGCTATGTCTGACTTCTCTTTACATATGAGATTGTATTTCTATGTAATAAACAAGTTTATGATGTTCATTTGCTTCGTGCAGATATGTTTTTCCAATCTTTTGTTCCTCATTCCCTCAGAGATTGGATTCCTTTCATGAAGAAGTGTTAAACTTATGTTCCAACAAAATAGCTGTTTCCA